GCTGTTGGTGCCTTAATACATGCCCTTGCCACTTTGTGATCCTGGGGTCCAAGTTCACAAACTCCAGCCCAAGCTTTCCCAGAGATTCCTCAGCCTGGGAGGGTGGGTAAGATGAACTGTGAGCTGTTTAATTTTAGAATTCATTGTCCTCAGAGCCTGGGACAAATCCCTTAAACAAAACAGATATTTAGTGCTAACAACTCGAAGAACAAAGTCTCCTTGGAAGCCAGTTTAATTGACCATCAACACACAGGCAGAAGCAGTCTGGAAGCACTTGGTTTCATGTTTGTCACACTCTAGGCATGTCATAACAGCCTCGTAAACACCCCCGTGTTTCTTATTCCGTAATTAAGGTCTTGCAGAGTTTACAATATGATGATGAGCCACTCAAAGATGAATGGGGCTTTTGTCAGGACACAGCTCGACCTTCTCATAGAGAGAGGGCTGATGGTTCTACATAGTTGGAGAAAATAGTGTCTCCAAGGGATCCCTTAAACTTCTAATGAAGAAAATCTCAGACTTCTAGTCTCTACAATTATGTGGGGAAAGTTTCTGTTGTTTAAACCACTCCGTTTTCTGGCCTTCTGATACTGAGTCTAAACAGGCTAATTAGTACATTGCACAGATAGATGTCCTCCTATTTATAGAGGCATGACTCCTGAGTTGTGGGTGTTATCTTAGTTTTATCAGGACAAAATTCCTCCATAAGTAAAGGACCGTCTGTACATTTACTTTTCATGAAGAATGGTTTCTCTAAATTGTCCTACCTGTTGCCTGTAGCTGGACTCACACATTTAGGTAGGGGTTGGGCTATGTGTCAGCATTGGGCTGATGGAGGTGTGAATGACTGGGCTTGTTTCCACATGTCTTTCATCCTGGTGCAATGTGCTTGTGGGGACCTAACATACTCATGGGGAAGATAGAAGCCCAACATATTAACCACTGATGCTTAAGCCTGTATCCAATCCACTGTTATCTTATTGGCCACAACAATTCAAGTAGTCAAACTCAGAGTCAAAGGTTTGGAAAATATACACTACCTCTTCATGGGAGGAAGTGCCACATGCTAAAAGACAGTCATAAAGAGAGAGGAAAATGTATTGATCAGCAACCTAAAATCTTCCTATCCCAGCCCCCACCATACCCCTAACTATTTCTATTCCTGTGTTCTATTTCCTTTACCTAATGAGATCAATCTGTCCCCCATAGTCCCTACTCTATACCTATTGACTTAGGGTTTTACTGCGAACAGACACCACGACCAAGGCAACTCTTATAAAGGACAACATTTAATTGGGGCTGGCTTACAGGTTCAGAGGTTCAGTCCATTATCAAGGCTGGAGCATGGTAGCATCTAGGCAGGCATGGTACCCCCTAGTGATATAACTTCCTCCAACAAGGCCTCAACTACTCCAACAAGGCCATACCTCCTAATAGGGCCAAGAATATTCAATCCATCATACCTACCCTCTAGTTCTATGGATTGTAGCTTGGTTACCACTTAACAACTAATATCTACATATAAGAGAATACACACATTTGTCTTTCTGGGTCTGGAATATAGGTATTCCTATATGACCCAGGATGATTTTCTCTAGTTCTATTTACCTGCAAATTAAATGACTGCATTTTTTAAACAGCTGAGTAAAACTCTATTGTGTAAATGTAACACATTTTCTTTATCTATTCTTTTGTTGAGAGATATACAGATTATTTCCAATATTTGGCTATTATGAACCAAGTAGCAATGGACATGGTTTAGCATGTATCTCTGTGGTAGGATGAATCATCCTTTGCATATATGTTCAAGAGTGGTGTGAAGGTTATTCTTGGTTGTCAACCTGACTACATCTAGAATTAACTAAAACCCAAATGACTAGGCACACCTGTGCATTTTTTTCTTTTCCCTTTTTGTTTTCTTTAAGACAGGGTTTCTGTGTATAGCTCTGGCTGTCCTGGAACTCAATCTCTAGATCAAGCTGGCCTCAAGAGGTGTCTCTCTCTCTCTCTCTGCCTCCCAAATGCTAGGATTACAGGTGTGTACTACCTGCCTGTATTGTTTTCATAATTAAATCATTTGAAGTGGGAAGGTCTACATTTAATCTGGACCACTCCTTCTGCTGAGAAGTTTTTGATCTTTGCCTCATTGCTCTCGCCATTGTTACCAGGACTATTCCTTCACTGGCATTAGAGCCCACATCCTAGGAATTTCAGCTTATACTGAAGACCAGTTGAGACATCCAGCCTTGAGGACTGAAGAGCTACTGGATTCTTGCTGGACCTTTCTATTCATAGGCAGTCATTGTTGGATTACCTGGGCCACAGCCTGTAAGTCATTCTAGTAAACCCCCTATCTATCTATCTATCTATCTATCTATCTATCTATCTATTGACTTTGGGCTTGGCATGGATTTTTGAAACCACTACAAAGCCAAAGTACTTATTTCCTGGAATTGTGGGTTTAATCAAAATACAAGAGTTTTACAAAATGTAATGGTAGTAATAACAGTTTGAGATAATTTAATTTTAGGAAATTGTGACCCCAGCAATGTGTTAAATCTGTGACTAGCATACATCTTTGATCCCAGGACTCAGGAGGCAGAGGCAGGTAGATCTCTGAGTTTGAGGTTAGTCTGGTCTACAGAATGAGTTTCAGGACAGCCAGGGCTATACAGAGAAACCCTTTCTCAACTCCCCCTAAATCTGTGATTGATTATCATCCACAAAAATACCCCCAAGTAATTTAGTGGTGATTAAATGAAATTCAGTAACTTTAAAATATAATATTAAGTGATAAATTGTTGGAACTGACAACTGCACAGATGTTGAAGATGAATATTGAAGATATAATGTTACATGATTCATCGTAGATGAATGTTTAATCTGAGGGTCCCATGAGATGTCTCAGCTGGTTAAGGTGTCTATCACTAAGCCTGATGCCTTGTTTTTCATTGCTGAGACTCAAATGGAAGAATTGCCTTGTGCTGAAACAGCTGTACTTTATTCTATGAGTGTAGCTGTGTTAAGTGTGACAATAGAACATTTTGTACAGTAGCCTCTGCAAATTGCACAACAAAGAGGAAGCAAATCATTGCCACTTTAAGAACTTTATGGATCACAGGATGATTGGTCACAGTGACTTCACAGGCATGTAATATTTCAGGTTTGTTACAATTGAGTGATATGTAGTTTTTGTATTGATTGTTCCTGTTACACCAATTGAATGTAACTTTAATACATATACTGAAAATTATCATTTAAAAAACTAGGAAACAGTGGTTAACAGGGCTTTCTGCTCTTTCTGAGATGGAGGTTCAATTCCCAGTACCCATTTCAGGCAGCTCAAGGATCCCAGTAACTCTAGCTCCAAGGGATCCAGTGTGCTCTATTAACCTCTTAGGGCATGTTTGCATGCACTTGCAGGCACACACATGCGGATTAAAAATAAATAAGAAACTTTTATAAGTTAGGAATGGTGGTTTAGCTTGAAGCAAGAAGGAGAAGGAGGAGGAGGAAGAGGAGGGGAAGAGGGAGACGAAGAAGGAGGAGAAGGAGGAGAAGGAGAAGGAGAAGGAGAAGGAGAAGGAGAAGGAGAAGAAGAAGAAGAAACACATTAAAAATAAAAATCTTGTTAGTGTAGGGATTCTGCTGCCTCAGGGAAACACCATATCCAAAAAGCAAGTTGGGGAAGGAGGGGGTTATTTGGCTTACTCGTCCATATTACTGTTCTTCTCTAAGGAAGTAAGGACAGAGACTCAAACAGGGCAGGAACCTAGAGGAAGGAGCTGATGCAGAGGCCTTGGAGGGGTGCTGTTTATTGGCTTGCCTAGCCTGTTTTCTTATACAGCCTAGGACCACCAGCCCAGGAGTGGCACCATCCATATTGGCTGGGCCCTCCCCCGTCAATCACTAAGAGTATGCCTTACAGGACTGCCTACAACTTGATGTTATGGGGCATTTTCCCAATTGCGATTCCTTCCTCTCAGGTGACTCATGTCAAGTTGACATAATACTATCCAACACAGGAATGGTGGCACAGCCTGTAGCCCTAGCACTGGTAATCCTGAATTCAAGGCCAGCCATATTACACATCGAGACCCATTGAAAAACAAAACAACACAAGTCTGGTTTTGTACTTTGCATATGTCTACATCCCCATTTAAATTTTTTTTAAACATGTATTTTCTTAACTATCCCCTAACCAGGTATCAGGCACTTCTCTGTGGAATCCCCTCAAAAGATTAATCTGAGGCACACAGACCTCTGGACCCAGCTTCCATCAAAGCAAAGGCCTGCACAAAGGTGTAAAGGAACATTCAGTTTGCAGAAGCCTAATCTAGACAAGATGCCAGGTCCTTCTTCCCTTCGCTTGCCACCCTGGTGGGAGACCTTTAAGTCCTTTGTCTAGCATGGCTGTCCTCTGAGAGGCCCTACCAACAGCATAACTTACACTCAACCACTGGACTGAGGTCAGAGACCCCCTAAGGTGGAATTAGGGGATGGGTTGAAGGGGAGGGTGACCCCCATAGGAAGACCAGCAGTCTCAATTAACCTGGACCCCAGGGAGCTCCCAGAGACTGAGCCGCCAACCAGGCAGCATACAAGAGCTGGTCCGGTCCAACGCGCCCCCCGAACCCCCCAGCACATATGTAGCAGACTGCCTAGTCGGGCTTCAGTGAGAGAAGATGCGCCAAATTCTCGAGGGACTTGAGGCCCCAGGAATGGGGGATGGAGAGATGAAGGGGCGCACCCCCTCGGAGGCAAGAGGGAGGGGGAAATGGTGTGAGAAACTGGGTGGGGAACGGGGAGAGGAGGCAACGGCTGGAACGTAAATGAATAATTAAAAATAAATGTATCAGTAAATGACTCCCCCCCATCCCGCCCAAAAAAAAAGACAACGACCTTTAGCACCACGAGGGACAGAGGAGGCGGGGCAAGCCACGGGACTGAAGGACGCAAGCGCAAGACCGGGAGCGACGCACGCTCAGCAGGAAGAAGGCGTGTCATGGCGTCATCACCGTGCGACCTCTTTCCCGGAGACAGGCGTCCACGGTACTGAGGTATTGTGCAAAACTGAGTTCGGGTGCTTGTCGTGCTCCTGTCACAGTCTTTCTTCCCGCACCCCGGGATCACGTCCATACTGTGGCTGACTGGGAGGAGCCGAGCGGGGCTTCTCGCTGCTAGCGTAGTCCCCAGAGCCTGTCAATGGCGGCTCTCGGGCTTTGCCTCGATTTGGTTTCTCTGTCAGTATCCTCTTCCTCATTTTGCTTACGTTGCCTTTCAAGGGTTGAAAAGCGACAAGAAAAACACTTAACGCCATCAGTTTCTAGCTGACTCCAAATATAAACGGAGACAAAATGGAAGACGAAAAGATTAACTTTCCGTGCAGCCCTTACTGTTCCGCCCCAGATCGAAATGATTGCGGCGGCAGTGTTAGCCCTTTTGAAATAAGGGTTTCCTTAATTTTATTTTTTACTTTTCCGAGACAAGGTTTCTCTGTGTAGACAGTACCTGGCTGTCCTGGAACTCGATCTGTAGAATTGGCTGGCCTCGAATTCAGGATTTGCCTCCCTCTACGTTTCAAATGATAGGATTTGATGCTTGGCCAGCAGTTTCCTGCTGTAGTGGATTATGTTAAGAGTAATTTTTCTTTGTGATCTGGGAAAAATTCATCGTGGCTCAAATTTCTGTTGGAAGGTAGTTTTAGTGACTTAAAATGTGTTGACTACAATTTAGTTTTGGCTTGGAAAGGTGTATTTGCCCTAGTGAGATGTTTGTGGTGTAGTTATTAACCTGTTTGGACTAAGAGTAGATAGAACTAAATGTCAACGTTAGTGTTTATTTATAAATAACACTATTATAAGTAACTAGTGTTATTTATAAATAACAACTTTAGAAAAGTTCAATACTCCTGGAATTGATAGACTGAATTGCTTTGTTACAAGATAAGATGCCAATGTGAACAGTTTTTGGTGGTGTTGTTTTCAAGTAATAGAAATGAAATTTCCAAATCGGAGATGTTGTAGATGCTTTCCAGTACCTAAAGGGATGCAGTTTTCCCTTGTTTTTAACTTAGAAACATTCTATGTGTAAACGGTAGCTATTGTTTCCAAGCATTTAACCCTTTGTGTATGGCCCTAAATATTCTACATTGAATTACCTTTTGGTTATTTTCAGTTTGATAAACAATAACCTATATTATGAGCTAATACTTTGAGTATTCTACTAATGGAGTGCAGCTAAGAGTTTTATTGATATTTATTTTGTTTGCATCACAACCTTATGTATTTTTAACTTTACTTTAGATGTAATTGTATTAAACATCCCCCACATTTTTTGAGAAGATGTTTTTGCTGCTTCCTATCTTCTATTTTGAAAAACATGTTGAAGTAAGCATGAAATAGAAGTTGATTACAGTGTGGTTCCAGTCTTAATCAGCTCCTTGTAATTTATGTACTTTGAGATATATCTATTCATGTGTATGTGCCTCTTTCTGTGTATTTGCCACATGTATGTGGGTGTCAACAGAGGCCAGTAAAAGGACTCAGATCCCATGGAGCTGGAGCTACAGATGCTTGTGAGCTGTCCAAACTGGCTGCTGGAAACCAAAGTTGAGTTCTCTGGAAAATGAACAAGTGCTCTGAACTGCTGAGCCATTTCTCCAGCCTTGTAATTTATATAATTTTTATTGTTAGACTTATTTTTAAATACATATATATATATATATATGTACACATATATATATATATGTTTATATGTGGTATTCATGCATGTGACTATACATGCATGTGTATGCGTAGAGGTCCAAGGATGCTATTTTTCTCCATCATTTTCCACTTTGTTTATTGAGGTAAGGTTTCTCATCGAAGCTGGGACTCATTGACTTCAGCCAGCCCAGCTAGGCTGTTTTGGCACCCTCCACACAAAGGAGATCTGAATTCTAGTCTTCAAGCTTGGTGATGTGTATCTCTGTGTGTGTCTTGCATGTGTTTGTGTGCGCATGCACATACGTGCACTTTATTCACTTAGCCATTTAACTCCTGTGCTTTGCTTTTAGGGGTTAGTACACTTTAGAAAAGGAAGCCTAGTATGTTCTGAAGATTACAGGTAGCATTATCAGAATCATTGTTTGACCAAGATAGTAGTATTGAGAACTTATTTATAAATTTCACCATTGTTTTCTAAGGTAACGCTGTGTAAAATATAATTATAGGAATAGAATTATGGTGCAGAACCTGCAAATTTGTCTCTTATACTAAAAGTCAATTAAGTATATGTTGGATTTTCTTTCTGTCAGCAATTTGGTAACTGTGTGGACCTCTAACTACTATAGAGATAAAAACAGCATATATATATATATATATATACACACACACATATATGTATATATATATATATATATATAAAAAAAATCAAAAGTCTAGCAATAAAAATTATATAAATTACAAGGTTGGAGAAATGGAGAAAAAATATATAAATTTTTTACATAAATTTCCTTCTGGATTCATGTAGTGATTTTGTAATTTATATAAGTCCAAACTGGGACATGATGTTAAGATTCTCCAAACTTAGCCTGGCAGTGGTGGTGCACGCCTTTAATCCCAGCACTTGGGAGGAAGAGGCAGGTGGATTTCTGAGTTCAAGTCCAGGCTGGTCTACAGAGTGAGTTCCAGGATAGCCAGGGCTATACAGAGGAACCCTGTCTCAAAAAACCAAAAAAGAAAAGAAGATTCTCCAAACTTGAGAATTGGCTAGTAGGCACAAAAGAAGGTTAGATTTGTGGCAGCAGCTTTGAACTAGCTTTTGTGCGGTGTAGCCATACAGGAATCTCAGTTAGAGGCAATGAGAGTGAGGAAGAATATACCTTTATTTTGGTAGAAAATTCAACTCTAGGGAAAAGAAGACATTTCAGCTCGTTGAGTGTCGTAGAGGTAAAGAGTAATGGTTTGATTATAGCTGCTAAGAACTGGGAAATAAGCGCTTGTTATCTCCAGTAATTTTCAAAATATCAAACACATGAGGGAAGCTCTTATTTCAAACTTACATTCTGCCCCCATAAATCTCCTGCAGTATAGTACAGAGAGCACAGTAAGGTCCTCTCTCACTTCCCCACTCGTTCCCTTCCTGGAAGTAGCTACAGTTAACAATTTATTTTGTATGTTTAAAGAAACTCACATGTATGTATAAGCATGTTAGTTTTCTGCCACAAAAAGGTGAAATAAAAAGAGAAAAGGCTTATTGGGCTCACATTTTAGAAGTTTCAGTCCATGGCTGGCTGTTCTTGCTGCTTTTGGGAGAGGTAGGATGGGGGGCTAGAGAAGGGAAGGGAGACCCACAAAGTCCACAGTCTTCTTGAACTTCCCCCACCCCAATATGACCATGAAACTGCCAACCCTGTCTTACCTCTTAAAGGCAGGACTTCTTAACCATGTTAAAGGTTTTGCTGTCTCCCAAGGGTGTCATGAACTGAGGACCACAGCATGGCATGGGACTATCCATGAATCATACCCATGCCACACAGGAAGCATATCCCTGACTCAGGTTGTTTTCTTAAATGAAGAGAAGGAAATATGAGGGTGGGATGGTACAAGGAGATTGCAGTGATGCCCACACATGGCTGCATCATAATGAAATGCATTGTGGACATTAAAGTTTTAAGGAAAGAAGTTAGAGAGATATACTTTTTGTGCTGCTCTATAATTTTCACTTCCTGACATATTTTAGGGATCTTTTAAGACTGTATGTCAGTGCTTTTCCCTACTACAGAGTACTTTATTGGGTGGATATATCATAATTTATTTAATCTGTCTATATTAATAGGCACGCAGGCTGTTCTTGTCTTTGAAAAATATTGTAGTAGATGTCTGTTAACTTTATGTTACATGAAAATTATGTTTCTGAGAAGTAAATTTATGGATTTTGAAGTGGAATATTAAATTCAGAAAATGCTCAATTAAATCAAACTGCTAATGGTGAAAATGGCCTGTTGGTGGCCTCCTCTGTTTACGTTAGATGAGAAATGGTATCTTGTTGTTGTGGTTTCTTTGGTGAAGTTGAATGGTTTTAAGTTTATTTGTTACTTGGATTCTTTTGTAAACGGCTGGTTACCGTTTTGGGGGGAGTTATGTATAGTTTCTGCTTGTTTGTTAAATTGATTTGCAGAGGCTCTGTTTTCCTTTGTGTGGCAGATATATTTTATTTGGATTTAGACCTGATCCATATGTTTTCACATGGATACATTTTAAAAATCATATTAACATGGAGGAAATTATATTTTGAGGCTGGAAGTATAGCTTAGAAGTAGGGCACATACTTAGCCCTTGGTTCAATTGCCAAGCACCAACCCTGCTCTGCTTCCCGCCCCTCAACCGGTGAATTTAGACTGTTTTAAAGAAGGCCATTTGTAATATAATCAAATGATCTGAAATTTCAGCCTTTGTTGACTATGTTAGATTTATGAATCAGCAACTGTGCAGTGATACTGTAGGATACTGCATGAACTGAATCTACTCTGAGATTCAGTATGCGACTTAACCACTGTCTACCTTCATTATAGTGCTCTATGTAACTTCCTGGTTTGTTACCTATGAAGACTACCTTTCTACAATAGGTTCATGCTGTTAGATGATTACACCACTGTGTGCTTAAGTGACATTATATACCTACAATTTCATACACAACAGAATTATTCTTAATTTTGATAATGAATGTTACAGATAATTGGGCCAACTAGAATAAAATATTTGAAGCCCACGGAGAGATTGGGTGATTTATCCAAGGTAACAGAGTCAGTGTTCAAGCAACACTGAAAACTCAAGTGTCCGCTTCCATTAACAGCCCTTAACTCCTGCCGTTCAGCTATTACTAAAGCGCTTAAGGACTGTAAGGACTGTAAAGTCATATAGGAATTTGCACTTGAAAAGTAATTTTAGTGTTAGTTAATAAAGATTTTTTTTATAGCTAGGATTTCTAGGTTTTTTTTTTTTTGTAAGTTTAATAGAAGGAATGGTCAGAAAAACACCTAAATTTTAAAAAGCTAAATAAAATTTAAATTTTTTGAGTTCTCCAGTAGAGATTACAGGATGTATTTATCAGACTTTCATTTTTAAAAATCTTTGTTCAATAGAATGCTTTAAGAAATGTACCCCCTCATTTATTTTTATTTCTGAGATGGTGTCTCCTGGAGTAGAGACTGGCCTTGAACTTGCCTATACCTAAGGGCCCCCAGATCTAACCCTCTTACTTTACTTTCCAAGTGCATGTACCTTTGAATCCGGTTGGACGCGGACTTAGCTTGATATGCAGTGTTGTGATTATGTTGTTGGAGCTGTGAGTCTCCAGGCTTGATGAGAGGCTGGTGTGGATTCTCCCCTTTTCCCCATGCATTTTAGGAAGGGAGGCTGGGAGGTGGCCCCTCTAGATTTGCATGTTAAGATTCACTGGCTTACCCTACTCAGAAGTCAATGTTCTTGTCATTTTCTTTCTAAAGCTCTGTCTCCAATATGAATTCTGAGAGTTGTTTTTTTGTTTGTTTGTTTGTTTTCCAGTTGGTCACAATGGCAGGTGAAGAAATGAATGAAGACTATCCCGTAGAAATTCATGAGTCTTTAACAGCCCTGGAGAGCTCCCTGGGTGCTGTGGATGACATGCTGAAGACCATGATGTCTGTTTCTAGAAACGAGTTGTTGCAGAAGGTATATTAAAGTCTACAACCTTCAGATGAATTTCATAAGACAGCACGTTAGGAAGAAATGGTCATTTAGCACTGGCCATGTCTTCCTGCTGGAGTTTTAGGTGAAGGAGTGTTGGAGTGAATTTAGCCAGAACATCCTACAAAGCTTCCGCTTCGGGAATTTGACTTTGAAAGCAAGGCACACTCATGTTCTTTTTGACAGATTCTATCTTTGATGTTTTATGTATTATAATGATATTATCAGAGTTTCTGGAAACACTGCAGTACAAGGACAATAATTAAATTGTTTTTTCTGTTTTTAGAATTGCCTAAGCATTTCATTGTGCTTCTTATATATAAGTGAGTCATATACAATGCTTATGTTGAATAATTACTTTTGATATGAAAGTCTAGATTGTAAATCTGAAATTGATATAATTTAGAATTTTTTTTTCTTGGATTTACAAATTTCTTTCTTTTTTCCTTTTTTTTCTTCTTTTCTTTTTCTTTTTTTTGGTTTTTCGAGATAGGGTTTCTCTGTGTAGCCCTGGCTGTCCTGGAACTTACTCTGTAGACCAGGCTGGTGCTGGGATTAAAGGCGTGCGCCACCACTGCCTGGCTACAAATTTCTTGTTTCATCAAAAATGATATCCAGAAGCAGGTTTTTTCTTTTTCTTTCTTTCTTTTTTTTTTTTTAGCAAAAAATAAATCACTTGTTATATTTGGATGTTTGTACATATTAATGAAAAAAGAGGCTACGAATTGGAAGAAGAGCCGAGAAGGGTATTCAGGAGTGTGTAGGTGGTATTTAAAATATAGTTTCAGATACAAACAAAAAGAATCACTGGTTAAGAAAACTTTGTGCAAATTATTTCTAAATCACTTTTATTATTGAATTATAGGAAGTGAGAAAAACATGCTTTACTGTCTTGTAGTTGGAAACTTAGGTGTCATCTGTTGGTTTACAAAGTTTGTGTGTATCTTTCATCTTCTTGTCTCTCTTCTGTTTTTCTAGTTGGACCCACTGGAACAAGCAAAGGTGGATTTAGTTTCTGCATACACCTTAAATTCAATGTTTTGGGGTATGTATGTTACTTTATAGTTTATTAGAAAGTATATTATTGTGTCAAAGGTGATTTATTTTTAAGAACTAGCAGTTAATATAGAATTGTCTTTTATAGTATCTTATTGGTCATATGTTTTTTTTTTTCATTTACATCAGAATGCATGATGCCTGTAAGCTACACATAGTTTAATATTTCATACAGGGTAGATAATTTGAAATTGAACTAACTATGCAATTTGCCTTTTTTGAATAACTAGGATTTCTTTTATTATGACACTCAGTCTTATATCACCACTTTATTTCATGAAGTCTTTCTTTTACAGTTTACTTGGCAACTCAGGGAGTTAATCCCAAGGAGCATCCAGTGAAGCAGGAGTTGGTAAGATGCCGGTGATTCCTCCCTATTTTTATGTCTGCTGCGTACCTCTGGTGTCAGCCACACAGCCATTATCATGCTGATCATTACGGAGATCAGAAGTAGAGCAGAGTGGCATCATCCTCGTAATTAGTTATAACTTTCATATTATTTTTCCTATAAATTCTTCAAATTTTATTCATCTCCAGGGCTACTTAAGGAAAAAAAAAAAACTCTTACACAATTCTTAAAAGTGTATTCCAGTTGATTTACTAGCAGAGATGGGGAAATTTCGTTCCTACCTTTTCAATTTCTCCATTAACTCATTTTCTCAGCAGTAAAGAATTCAGTTCAGCAACAAAGCTAAAAGCTTTTTTGGCACCAGCCATATGTATACTGTCCAGTAATTCTGCATCAATGACATATTTACAACCTGTAATAAATATTCTAGGTTTGTCTCTGTATTCCATTTAGATGTATAAGTACACTAAATAAGATCTAATATCTTGGACTTTTTGCTGACTTCAAATATTAAATCAAATCATCCAATTGGAAGGAGAAAATAGAAATCAAACTTATAGTTACCTTATTGACTTGGCTTTATGAATAAGAGTTTTAATAAATTTATTATTTATGCACATAAAACATAATATACATGTATATGTGAAACACATGAAACTATATCTTTGTTTTCAAGTCTTATAGTAGCCAGTAATGTGTGTTAGTTACATCTTAGTAAAGCATAGGTAATTTACTTAAAATGAGTAATCCAGGCATCTTCATTTCTAATGTAAAATATGTAACAAAAATGTATAGACTAGGGTATTTTCTTCTATTAAAGTTCTTGAGGAATAAATAAATTTATGTTTAACAGTTGTGAAAAAAATTTTAAGAGCAGTTACCTGTGCAGTTGGCTTTAAGAAGTTCAGGTTATGTGTCTAGTTTTCTCATAGTGTCCTCTCATGAAATTAGTTTCAACACAAGGAGTACTCAATATTGTGTTTACAAAAAGATAAGATCATTTATCTTCATTCTTCTTCAGAATCTACTTTATGGAGAGCACATTAATTTTCTGGATAAGGATTGGCAAATAAAAGGCATTTATTCCCTTTTTTGACCTTGTGACAGACATTACTAATTGATTGCAGAATTAGAGGAAATCGATTTGTTATTTGTCATGTATTACAAATGGGAAAACAGTCACCTTATTCATTTGGTGGTATTTGAATGCCTACTAAGGACCAGGCATTGTTTTCAAGTGATGATGCCTCAGAGAAAAAGCTGAGAGATATGGCAGATACCACTCTTGGAGTGAAGGGAAACACAGTAACCGTAATAAGGTAAACACTGTGCATCTTGACTATGCAGGATGCTGAAAAAGCATTTTATGGAGAAAAAGAGCAGATAGAGTGAGTTGGAGTCTGTGGGTAAATTGTCCAGTCTTAATGGTGAAGGGAGGACAAGGCTGACAGACTAGAAAAGAGGGAGGAGCTGCGTGGGTGCTCGTAGGCAGAGCAGTAGCAGGGCAGGGTCCCCTAGGCAGAGCCCGGTGCAAGTGCTGCCATTGTCTCCACCTTCACAGGAGAGGTTTTACAGGAGCAGTTCGGTTTTGATAATGAAGCAATTGTAAGGTTCTGTATTTTACTGTTTATGTTCACATGCCTGCTTTACTTTAATGAAACTGGTTTGTTCCTAAGCAGTGATCAGTCATTGACTGTATTCTGGTTTTCATCACCTGTATTTCGCCATTTGAAGTGTACGAGTTATTTATTGTGAAGGATACTCTCAGGAGATTCAAAGTGCTCCAGAAGTCTACTGTGTTTCTAACTTTAAAGTCTGTATATTTTATTTTTTACATACTTATCAGTTAAAATTATGAAATTGAATAAAAGATTTCATATTTTTATTTTGCCTATTTTAATATGAGACTCAGCAGTAACATAAAATAGATATAAATACTCCCCCACCCATTTTCTGTTTAGAAAAATGATGGGAGAGGTTAATTTGTTGGGACAAGTGTAGGAGAACTCAGATTTAGAATTTACTCTTCAGGTACAAACAGTTAAATTGAGAATTTAGGTTAAAATGTTGATTAAAACAATAGAACCATATATAAACGAGTTATTGTTTGTTGTTGTAGTGATATTCTAGTGTAAACTTGTCTCTGGAAGAGTTCAGAACACTTCTAAAATGTTTGGTTGGTTGTCATTGTTCTTTTAAGACAGTGTCTTGTGCAGCCCAGGCTGGCTTCAGACTGGCTGACCTTGAAGTCTTGCCTCTGCTCTCTGAGTGCTGGGATTTTGGAATGCACCCCCATGTCTACTGAAAGGACTTTAAAATAAAATGCATGCTTCTCTTAGACTGTCCAGGAAAGCATGGGGCATGTTTATCCTGTGCATTTGCACTCACTAGTGCCCTGGACTTAAAAACAGACAGTAATGCCTCACTGTTGATTGTCACTGAGAAAGCACATGATAAAGGTGGCAATGCAGAACAGCTCCAGAAATGACTGCCTTTTATTCTTCTTTCTAAGGAAAGAATCAGAGTCTACATGAACAGAGTCAAAGAAATAACAGACAAGAAGAAGGCTGCCAAGCTGGACAGAGGTGCTGCTTCGAGATTTGTCAAAAACGCGCTCTGGGAACCCAAACCAAAAAACACACCAAAAGTGGCCAATAAAGGGAAGAGTAAACACTGATCTTTTGGTTTTGATGTACGTGTTTTCAAAAAGTACATCATTTTTATCAGTTTACAGTATAGTTATGTGACCATGCAGTGTTTAAATGGATTCCTTTTTGAATTCATGTATAAATTTACACATTAAATTTGTGATACTGAATCTTTTTTTTTGCTGAGAAAGATTAAGTTGTCTTTATTGATTTTCATATAAAGCATCATGATGTTTTTAATATTGAAAGATATTCTATAAGCAATTGTGAAATCCAAATGTTCTTTCTAAACATTTGTAGTGTTTTAAGTGAATAATGGTACTATGAAGTGTGCTGTCTGTAGACTGGAGTGATAAGGACATCTGTTTTCAGCAATGATGAGAAATGCAGTGACTTAAATACTCACTCTGTTTTCTGTTCACTTAGTGCAACATGTTTCTGTGATTTTTTAAAATTGAAACCTTAAGGCTGTACTGTAATTCTTCATGTTCCATTTAAAATAAAATAATTCTCATTAACGCTGATGGAAAATAAGGTTGTATGTCCTGGCTGGCTTTGGCTTGATTCCCTTTTAATAAATATTGTAGCTGTGTAGCTCACTGGCTTCTTGCTGTTCACTGCGTGAGTGAACATGCCCTCCAGATGAGCAGCGGTGAGCAGCTCCACAGTAGAGAATGTTTATGAGTCATGGCCCTCTGTTCTCTTGGTCTTGCTCTTAGACTCTTTCTGACTAAGTATTTCCTAAGCCATGTGGATGTTTTGAACCATCTTCTTTATTAAATACTGCCCCTCAGGCATGGGAGTAATCAAATTCTGTTTACATTCTGATTTATATTTCCAGAGTGTCTGTCTTGATGAGTTCCACTTATTAAACCTCTTAGTGTCGGAGCTCATCTAACCGTGCTTCTCTAGGCCCACATTGTCATGTGTGGGAATGCCAAGGAGAGCCAAGGGCTTTTTGGTTTTGAGAATTAGAGTTGTTAAAATTGTGATTAATTTTCCATAACTAACTTTGAATATATGAATTTCCTGATTATCTAGCAGATATTGGAAGTGGTCTGAAATTACAATGGAGTTTGTAAGGCATGCTGAAATCTGTGATTCATAAAGAGTGAGTCAGTCAATAGATGCAGAAAGTCTCAGCTCTGATATCAGATAGTTTGTGAAGTGAAAGCACTTGTGAGCATTTGTAGTTATTTCACTCGTAATGTTTCAACGTAGCTTCATTAGAGAAAGACGTGCTTTATAAAGATAACTGTAAAATGCATTTTAATGTTATTCACTGCAAAGAAACTTGTGTCTTGTATTTCTCTTTTTAAATTTCATAAAGAAAAGAACTTTTAAATTAAAATTTTCACAATTGCAGAAAATCATTAACCAAAGTATTTGTTTTCGAAAGTTCAGCTTCATGTCACACTAAATTGTATGTTCTTAACTCTTTCTTTTAGCATGTATTTGCAGAAATAAAAGATTTGTAGTTTATTTTATTTTATTTTATTTTTTTTTGGTTTTTCAAGACAGGGTTTCTCTGTATAGCCCTGGCTGTCCTGGAACTCACTCTGTAGACCAGGCTGGCCTCGAACTCTCGAACTCAGAAATCCGCCTGCCTCTGCCTCCCAAGTGCTGGGATTAAAGGTGTGTGCCGCCACCACCTGGCAGTCTATTCTATTTTATTACATAGAATTTGAAATAATTATTACACCATACCAAGGAGCTGTGACAGTTTATTAGGTTATCTGTCCCACAGGTAAACCCACTGACGTCCATATTGCCAAGCACTATGCTCAGTTCTAGGTTTCAGAGATGTTGTCTGTAGCCCTTGTGCTGTTTTTCTTAACCGTTGTGGAACAATCATCTTAGTTCAGTTCAGTATTTCAGAGTTCCCAGAAACTATAGGAGGTTACCCTCACTGGCCTTAGCCAGAACTGTACAAGGTGGTGGGTTCGTTTATTAAGTGTAGACTAGTTATTGGTAACCATTTATTCCAAGTAATGCTGTTCTGTAAGGTAGGTGTTAGTTGCATGTTTTATTAATCTCGGGAATCAACACAGTGGAGGAATTGCAGATGTGTAGACATTGATCTAAATGAAATCTTTTAATATTTTAAATAAAAATTTCTTGTTCATAGATACAGAGTGGGAGGTAGAACATGTTAAGTAAAATTTTAAAGATGAAATCATGGTTTACATTTCTGGAATTTGGTCATATCTAGTAGATGGGTGTTTAAGAAACTGAAGATCAAGTAGATAAAAATCTACTTGAGTTACTAAAGTGGACACACTACAACTTTTAAAATTGTTTAGAACCTTGTACTTAAAAAATGGACAGTGTACTGAAGGTAGACACTTTTTCTTAAGTAAGTTATTGAAAAAATACGTTGGGATTGATCATTTATGATTCTATTACATTAAAGTTTAATATAACAAAATTTCCAGAGCTTGTGATTTTTCAAAGTGTTCCTGAGAAAGATTTGGGTCATGATTCTGAACACTGTTAAACAACAGGAAACAAAAGAAGCACTGACCCTCACAGTAGAGTGACTAAGCTTCAGTGGCTCTCCTAATGATCTTGACAGTGTCCAGATGTTTCAGTTGCTCTTCCTAGTGATCTCAGTAGCATCCTGGCTTGTATGGATGAACAGTGGATATACTTTACTGATGTGAACATTCTTTCCTTGCATTCTAATCTAAGACTTGAGTTTTGGAACTACAAACTGTAAGTTTAGTTAATAAGTATCTTACAGTTGTGTCTTTACACAAAGTTAAAGTAGACAAATTTGTTTCTCCTCTCTCTTCTCTCTTTTCTTTTTCCTCACCCCCCACCCCCATATTGGGTAATGAACCAGGCCTTTAGGCATGCTAGCAAACACTCCATCCTCAGTTATAGCACAATTTAAAATATATCCCAAAGTAGTGAAGCTATCAACAATGAAAGGGGCAGCTACAGTAAAGCTGTAGACTTTTAACTTGTAACCGCATCTGTCTCCCTGCCAAGACCTGGCCAGTTCTGGGTGTTCGTTCCCTCCCCTTCTTCCCTTCTCTCCTCTCTCCTTCCCTCCTCTCTCCCCTCCCCCTCCTTTTTCCTTCCCTTTGCTCTCTTCTCTTTCTCTGCTTCTCTTTCATTTTCTTTCTTGACAAGTTCTCACTTTGTAGCCCTAGCTGTTCTATAACTCACTGTGAAGATCAGGCTGGCTTCACAGTCAGAAAAACCTTCTGCCACTGCCTCTCAAATGCTAAGGACAGGAGGATGCTACCACATCGAAGTCAGTTTCTGGTTCATTATGATTTATTTTTATTTTATCTGTGTGAGTGTTTTGCCTGCATGCATGTATGGGTATCATGTGCACAGTGCCTGAATAGGCCAGAAGAGGGTGTTGGATCCCCTGAAACTGGAGAGAGTAAGTAGTGAGCAGCCATGTGTTGCTGGGAGCTGAATTTGTATGGTCTCCAAGACTGGAGTGTGATCTTAGGCACTGAGCCATCTCTCCAGACCCTGATTCTTAAAAGGTGGAAAGATGATGCTGGGTTTTACTCCCTCCTCCCAGTAAGCCTTGAAGTTTATGTATCTCAGCAGTGCCACTGCCTGCAGAATGTCAGCCTCACAAAGTGATATATGTTTCAGATGGTGTACAAAATGTGATGGTGGAGAAATAAGCTTTTATAAATGAAACATTGAAGAGACTTTATTATTCGCTCTTCAGTTTAGTGTTGCCTTTAAGGTGCACCATTTCATTTTGGCAGCTACAATAAATGACTGAAGGAAATTGAGACTAATAATTCAACATTTCAAGATGCTGCTGTCATAACGAATGTAGACCTACCCAGGGCTTGGATTTAAAGTTTATAGTCATGCAGAACTTTAAAGCCACATATCCAGGAAATCCATGGGGAGAGGATTTGAATGGGGTGATTAGGAGAAATGGAATAGAATGCTTTCCTTGTATGGGTGTTATCTGTTGAGATAACGTGTGTCACTTTGAACAGAAGCCTGTTATTCTCATGTTGCTATGAAGTCCAGTTCATCTTGGGGTTTATAAAAAAAGGGATGGTTATTAAAAGATTATATCAAGGAAGGTGCCCCAGTGTAGACCTGAAGTGCTGGTTTTTTGAGAAACCATGCTGTAATGGACCAGGCTGGTGGTCTTGTATTTGATGCCTTTGTTCTCAGTATTTGAGCTATTTAAACAGAAGTCATCTGCTACCCTTGTCTCATTATTGTTTTTAAGAAAGCAATTATTTAAGCACACAGTATACATGAAAATCTATTAGGTATTTTTAAGGTTCTGATGCTTGTGATTTTGATTCTTTGTCGGAGGGTCAAAGACCATTTCTAGGGCACAATCTTAATTCCTGCTAATTCCACAAAGGAAGGCAATATTTAACTTCGCTGATGATTCAACCTAGCCACCCTCTTGGCTTCCAATTTTTTTCTTTTCCTTGCAGTCCCATTTGTTTCTTCACTCATTAGTTCAATAAAATGCTTAGTTGAGCTGTGTGCAAAGTTCTCTGTTAGGCATAGGAGAATCAGTAGATAGCTCTGGCATGGGAGTCCTTGAGAGATGATAGTTTTTGTTTGTTTTCACAGTGTTGAGATAAAACCTAGGGCTTTATATGCTAGGCAAGTATTCTACCACTGAGCTACACCTTGGTCCCAACTATGTTGCTGTTGATGATTAATCCTCTCTAATCACCAGACAGCAGAGAAAATTCCTCAGTACTGTCTCAATGCTCTGGATTCTCGAGTGAAAGACACACACACACACACACACACACACACCACACACGAAGCCTTATATTTAAAATGCTTTAATCAGTTCAATAGCTGGGCCACTCCCAAACTTCCACATTGCTAATGCTTCCCCTCTGATATTCGTGAATTATTACTAAAATCTATATTTCATCTTTGCTACCCCAGACCCAATGAGGGGGTCTTTGGTTCTGCTCTTTCTTGGCTCTTACATGATTAGTATGCCTCTTTTCTTGCCACTCTCAAGCCCAGTTCTTATTTATTTCTCTTTCGGCATGGCAATTCTGCTTCTTCCTCCCTCCTGTTTTCCTTGCCCAGGAATCCTTAAAGTCCCGCCTCTGTCACACTGTCCAGCCATTGGCCACCAGCAACATTATTTACCAATTAAAGCCAACTGGGGGCAAGGACCTTCAGTGTCTTACATGCAAACATGTGGATTTCCGTGTAAATTTGAGGGACTAAATTGACATAAGTAGCATTAGATCCAATCCACAACACAACTGGAAAATGGCTGCCATGTGTGCCCTTGTACCCTCACCCCCTGGGTTAATATATGGAAGACCTAAGCTTCAGTTCCTAATAATATCACCTTATTTTGGAATAGGGTTATTGTATATTTAATCAGCATGAGGTCTTTAGCATGTTTTCTAATCGCATATGTCAATATAAAAAGAGGCAGTGTGGACATGTATGCAGCAAGACGCCTGTATGCAATGAAGGCAGGAAATGATTTGATGCTATTAGGTGTGAAGGAAAGGAGGTGTCTGCAGAGCGCTGGGCATCAGATGAGGGGTGTAAGGCAGGAACCAGTGCTCTTCACACTGATCTTGGACTTCAGTCTCCAGAGCCCATGAGTCAGTACATTTTCTACTTTGTGACTGCCCAGTGTGTGATGTTGTGTTAGCATTGTCATGGAAACAAATTCAGAGGCAATCAGATGAAGGGAAATGGATAAAAACAGTACTTGTGTAGGAAAGTGTGCACGAGGAGCCTTGACATGAGGTGCAGGTGTAATTCTGAAAAAGCCCTGGCACCTTAGGGACCAGGTGTAAGTTTACACTTAAACCTCACTACGTGTTAACTCTGGCAGAGATGTCAGGACTTCTATCTTGAAATGTCAAAGGCACACTATATTCTTTCTGAAGCCAAAACATTCAAACATTTCTAACATATTTGAATGTTCCACCTTTTGAACTTTGTTATTTTGGTTCGAGAAAAGTCATTTCTCTGAAGGTAGTGGAACCCCATTAGGCGTCTTCGGAGAGAAACCTTCATACCTTCACACGAACATTACCATGTTATATGACATTTTCCTAAAACAATGGAGCAGTTAGCTTGAAATAATGAAAATAAATGCTTGAAACATTGTATGCAGGTGTGTGTAATTTGTACAGTTAGGTGAGTACATGCCACTGTAAAAATCCCACATGGAATTTATCTGGTTGGATATAGATTGTTTTTAAAGGGGTTCTTCCCAGTTTTTAAACTGTTTTAGTATGCTGCTCAGTGGTGTGGTGTGTGTGTGTGTGTGTGTGTGTGTGTGTGTGTTTACCCACTTATGCACTGCCCTTGGACTTAGCAACTAAAGAATTCAGAAGTAGGCCTTTACTCCTAATAATTTGGGTCCAATTATTTGCTTTTTAGAATTTAAAATGCCTTTACCAACTTTAGTCTTTAGAACAGGTCAGTAGATAAGATAACATAAATAAACCTCATGAACTTGAAAGCCAATGTTT